CCTATACTGTAATTCTTCACGCAAAATGGTTACTGATTAGTAAAAAGTCGTGAGAGGAAGAAACCCCAATATCCGTTTTTTACCAATCAGTGTTTAGTGTCAAAGCTCTATTGTTTGTATAAGGATCCGAGTTAAAGCGACTAGGGTTGCTTTCTGAGCAATTAAACATGATTTTTTGGATCCACAAATAACAAGTTAGTTATATTCATTCGCTCAGCAAGCATGCCTAGCCGCTTTGCCATCTTGACTCGTCCAATTGGCTTTCCAAACGAAATTTACGTTAAAGAGTTACAGAATAGATCTGCTGTGCGGTTCCTTCAAGTTGATGTATTTTCACATGTATAAATCATACGAACAATATCGTAGATAGACACAATATCACTAACAATTCACAGACAGTATCATATGGTATACTTGCAGACAGAACGCATGTATGCGTATACGTGAATTAAATAAGGATAGCTCGAAATCAGGTTTATTTCTGTTACATAAAAGTCGGCAGTCTAGTAAAGATGTGTCCCGTTTTTACAAAGGCATTATAAAAAATTTAGAAAAAATAGACATAACAGAGAAATTACAGAATACCAGGATTTTGTGGCTTGGTAAAAAAGACGAATGTCTAGTAATATGGAAGAAACAGGAGTCTTAGGTCATATCCCTGATGTTTTTTTTTCATATTGTTTATTTTTTAAGTTCGTATCAGACTGCCGACTCTTCAGGCCAACCCGACTGTCAACTCTGACTGCCAATCAATCACTTAAATTAGTTTATTGTGTTTGATACATTATTGGTCGATAGTTAAAGTTAGTGGTCGGGTCGGTCTGAAGAGGCGGTAGTCTGACAATGAGTACGATGTAATATTTTACAGTAGTACTTTACAGCTTCAAAAGTGGAGTTCGAATTCATGCTTTCAAATAATAACAGTATCAGTTCATTTTTGTTATCTCTGAAAATATTAAACAAGGACAAATAATGCCTATAAGTGTAAGTCCAAAACAGAACGCATTCCAGACTATATTCAAATTTCTACCAAAGCACCACCCAGGAATTAACTCCATTTTTGTTTACCGTACGTTAAACAAGGATGACATCCTGGGAGCACTGATGAGAATCCGAACATTCCTAAGATTGCACTCTATCGTTCCCATCCACCTGCATTATATGCAGGATATTCCTGCAAGTATATGTTACTCTTGTTTTAATGCGGTAAACAACGAAGGAACACATCTGGGAGGTACTCAGGTAGAAATCTGAACGTATCCTAAATAAGGAAGCCTAAATATGGTTCAGCCCACATAATAGAGAGAAGGAGGAATCCAAAATGGACACAAAAATTTAGATATTTATAAAATATATATTTTTACAAACAAAAAAATTTAAAACATTTAAAAGTTTTCTGTAGAAAAATTCTTACAAATACCTTATTTTTTGACATCTAGAAAAACATCTTCTTTTATAATAATATTACGAAATAACATTAGTTATCAAATAATTAAGAATTTATCTGATTGATCGTAATAATTTCTAATTTTTTGGGAAGAGAATTTTGCAGCACTAACAAATATATGACATTTACTTAATGTCTATGAGACTCGATTGTACTATTATTTTATATATAATTTTGGTATTCTATATTCATTTTACAGTTTTCATATTATCTTGATTATTCTATTTCTGTTCACGTCGTTCTTGAATTTCATTGTTTTAGAAACTTTTAAACATTGAGAAAGTTTTCTATTGCTCTCGCAAATCGCATTTGTATTTAATAAACGCGCATAAAACATTTATCAGGATAATGCATTTTCGCACAAATCAAACTCTCGTGATCAATAAACTTACTCTCGTCTCATCATTTTAAGCTCATCGACAAAATAAAGTAATTAAATTGAAATAACAAATAGATAAACTTCTTACATAGTGTAAATATAGAAGTAATATGTCTGAAAAAATACGCATTCTCCTGTTTGAAAACAAGAGAATAGCGTACGAGCCAAAGACTATTGTTATATTTTGTTAGGGCTAACTATTAAGTTATAGTGCTAATGAAATTGTGTTAATCGCGATAGATTCTTAGGCAGCATAACGTAATTTTTTTCTGTAAATGTTACGAGAAATAGATTAGGCGACAAATTCAAAGAAACTGTGAATATATTATATATACGCGTGAGATTCGTTACATGTGTGTACATGTGTATATTCGCGAATTGCCATGTAAATTAATTATTCCGTTGCATTACAAGAATTACATTGTGATCGTGAAGAGATCATAATGTAGCAAATGATAAACAGGTGTTCATGGACAAAGTTGTTAAATGTTACAACTGAAGTTTATTTTAATACAATACAATCTTGTTATCATAGTGATAAATAAAATATTTTTGTCTCGATTCTCCTACACGTTTAAAATAGTGCTATTTTGTAATCGCTGACGACATATGCTAAGACATATAAAGGAGGGTGGATGAAACATTTTTGGAAATTTCGCGTATGTGCTATAACTCGAGCGATACGCACAAGCTATAGTTATTTATATCTTTAACAGAATCGTGTATCGTAAGTAATTACAAAATGGCATTATTGCACATTAATTGATTCATTATGATATTCAGTTTTAATTCAAAATACGAATTAAAATTCTATTGAGCTCTACTTGATATTAAACTGATAATTTTGATATTGTTATTCATTTGTATGTCCCTATGAAAATTTATTTCCGAAAGGCCCTTGAGATCGTTTGTGAATAATAGTACAATATTCATTTCGTTTGCTTATCATAGCTTACTGAAGATTTTTATAGTTATAACAAATTTTCCAATGAGGTTGAAGGTTTCTTCTTAGCAAAAGTGTAGCGCTACGAATGATATTACAAGAGTTTTTCGGTTATTTTTATCAGTTAAATTACAAGTAGAGACTTAAAAGTACTACACTGCCAATCACGCAATGAGTGAAGTGTCTTAAACTCAATTTTTTTAAAGCGCTCATTGTTATTGAAACACGTTTGGAATCCGAGTAGTGCCATGTATTATTTTATCCTTATTTAACATTCATTGCAAACAATAAAAATAAAATGATACGTGGGAGCACTCGGGTGATATTTCCAAACGAAGTCATAATCATCTTTATATACTGAACGTTTGTAAAATTTATAAATATTATAGAAAAGATCGACTTGACAAGCGTTCTACTTTATTGTACAAAACTTATCGATCTAAAATTGTGCCTTTACTCGAGACATCCCAAATCACGAGGGACGTCTTTTAGTTCATGTCCTGTTTGCTGTAAGCGATAGTGAAGTGAACACCTTACCTTTCATGTCGATTCAAGTAACAGCACGATCGTGCGTAACTTTTTTACACTCAATATATGAGCTATCCACACACAGAATTAGAAAAGGAGTATATACTCTTTAAATTCTTTGAAGTAGATTCTCACATTAAATAGTAAAAATTTAGCCAGATAGGCTTAAAAAAAGAATAGCTCAATTTTCAATTTAAAAATGAAATTTTTCTCTTTGGAGATGAAGTTTATTCTAAAAGTTTTAGAGAGTACCTTTCGAATATAAAAAGAGTTCACGCAATTCTGATTTACAAAGATTCCGGAAAATCATCTCAGGAATTTTCGCAGGATTTTTTTTTCATCAAATAAGTACGATATCGATTATCTTAAAATCTAAGGTAAGCTAATCGATCTCATTAAACCCGAATCTTCTTTTTAAGAAGATTATAATCTTTGCTATAGATATATTATAAATATACAATCGCATGTTCTTTTCATTTTCAACACACTATAGAACATAATTTAGAACACTATAGAAAAATAATTTTACTTTTAATGAGTATTTAAAGAATTTTTATAATTCTGTATGAATCGTAGATTAATAATCCAATGAATATCTACGTTCTGCTGATAGGAAATGACTTATACATGAGAATAAAAAATGCACGATCGCGCTGTTGCAAAACTTAAGTTGATGTAATCTCGATAAGGAGTTTGCTTTTACCAGTCCGTACATTTTGGATAATCAATTGGCATAAATTTGTTTCCGGGAACATTATCTAGCAGGACGTAAGATCTTTCGCGTTTGATCTATGATTTAATCTATGTGAGTCACGATATGATTGAGAATTGAATGTGTATTTTTTTCTTTATTTTATGATAAGGTGTTTGATGAAAATAACGCGCGATTATGATCTACAGCGAAGACTAATCGAAGGGGAATCTATTCGTACTAATTGAAGAGAACAGATTCGGAAGCCTGATTTGCTTTTTTCAAGACAATTGATCACATTTACACGGCGAAGAAGACTTACATGTTCCCAAGATAATCTTCCCATCGTTATTGCATCAACGTTGCTTGTAA